CTCAGGGCAGGTCCCCAGAGACCAGCCAAGAGCCAGGCCCTCTCTTACCTTGTGCAGGTGTTCCAGGGCCAGCACAATCTCACCCCCGTACACTCGAACCTCGGCCTCCTTGAAGTACTGGCGCTGGTAGAGGTGAGTGAACATCTCGCCACCGCTCACATAGTCTAGGGGTGCAGGAGAGGTTGAGATGTTCCCCCGTAAGTTAGCCTACCTTAACTCCCGTCCCTCTCCAAAGCTGGGATGTGACAGGCCCTCACCCAGGATGAGGTGCAGCTTGGCATCCGTCTGGAAGGCGTAGTGCAGGGTAACCAGGAAGGGCGCCTGGCGCACCAGCTCCAGCACCGAGCGTTCAGTGCGGGTATGCTCCTGCGTCTTGGCGCGCTGCACCAACGCTGCCTTGCGTAGCACCTTCATGGCATAGAGCTTGCCCGCATCGTGCCCACCCGCCTTCCGAACCAGGAACACCTTCCCGTAGGCTGTGGGAGCAGCAAGCAAGCGGATGGAAGGTGGGCTGTAAATGCGAGGGCGGTGCAGACTGGTGGGAAGAGGTGTGCAGGGGTGCAAAAGGCTGACAGAGCCTTCTAAGGAAAAGGTGTGCAACTCCCTGGAGGGTGCTCAGCTAAGCCTGAAAAGCAATGTGCAGTGCAAACTAGCCTGGGGAGCCTGCAACTCCAGAAGGCCTGCGGGGCGGGGAGGGGGCGGGGCACGTGCGAACCTGGGATGATCAGAGAGCTGAGAAAGGATGAGAACGCTGGCTGGCACCGGAGGCAGAGACGCGCTCCCAGACAGGGAAGGGATGTGCAAACCCGGACTGGGGATTTGCAAAATACAAGAATGGGGCTCGCAAGGGGAAATGGGGAGAACCTATGCAAAGCTCTTGGGAGGGAGTCAAAGCCCCAAAGAGACTAGGAAATAGCGGCAGTGGGGACATGCACGCACAGGACTTTGCAGAGAGGAGTGATGTCAACGTGGACGCCCTGCAAGTGGGCATGGAACCCTGGTACGGTAGGGCGGAGCGGGAAAGGGGAGCTATGCCGGGAAAGGGTGGGGGGACCTCCCCAGCAGCCAGGCCCAGGCCCAGGCCCAGGAGGGTGAGCGGGCAGAAGGCCCAAAGCACCATGCCAAGGGCACTGGCCCAGTGAACGCAGTTCCTCACCTCCCGTGCCCAGCACCTTGAGCAGCGCGAAGTTCTCCACGCTCACCTTCTCCTCATGCCCAGTCAGGTTGGCTGCGGGCACAGGGGGGCGAATGAGCCCAGCGGGTCGCTGACTCTTGCCACCCGTCCGGGGTAGCCGCCTCAGGATCCCGCACCCACCTTCGGTGATCTGCAGCTCCACGGCGCAGCCCTCGTCCTCATCCTCGTCTCCCATGGCGGGCGGGTCTCTGGGGCCAGCGCGGCTGGGGCTCCGGGCGGCGCCGGTTACATGGCGGCTCCGGCCGGGGCGGGTGCTTCCTGGTGCCGCCTCCAGGGCCGAGCGGGCGCCGGCACCGCCTCCCGGCTCCCCGCCCCGCGCGGCCTGAGTCAGGCGGCTGGAACGTGACGAAGCCGGGCTGCAGATGGGCAGCCGGAGGGGGTGGCAGGGTCTCCCCAGACCCGGGGTCGGGAAGAGCCCTGCAGAGCCTTTGGATGACACCTGGCCTCTGCTGGAGTAAGTAAGCCTCCAAGCCAGGTGTCTGCCCAGCAGGATATGGAGGGCACCAGAGGTTTATTTCTCAGGCTTCAGGAAGGGCTGCCCACCCAGTCTCACAGAGCCCTCCCTCCCACGTGGCAGCCATGCCTCTTCTGCTCCTCTTAGCCACTTGACACAAATCATAGCCCACCTCCTTCTTTAGAACCACACCTTAACCTCAGCAAATACATCGGAGATCTTTATATTCCCGGGCCACAGAAGTCCGGCGGGCAATGGGGGCTCTTTAGAAGCCACTTTTCATGGGTAAAGATGCTTTTGCCCCAAAGGAGACCTTCTGAGTTGGATTCCTTCTACCACGAGGTAGAAGGAAAGAACTGACTTCTACATGTAGTCCTTAGGTCTACATGTCTGCACCAACATATACATGTCTGCACCAACATACAATACAAACATATGACATAATATAAAATAAATATAATTTCAAAAAATTTAAAGAGGGAGCCTGCAGGGCTGATTGCTCAAGGACCCCGCCCCACCTTCCCAAAGGAACCCCACCCTCCCTTGGGCGGCCTCAGGTGCCCTGACTCACATCCTGCCACAGCCTAATTGTCCCTGAATTCGTTTGCTTCTCTGTTGCTGAGATAAAACACTCTGACCAAAAGCAGCTTGTGGAAAGGTGAGTTATTTACACGTTACAGTTCATACTCAGAACCCAAGGCTGGAGCCTGGAGACAGGAACTGAAGCAGAGATCGTGGCAGAACACTGTTTACTGGCTTGCATCCCTTCCCTCAATCAGCTAGCTTTATTATACAACCCAAGCCCACCTACCTAGGGATGTACCACCCACAGTGGATTGGGCCCAACTACATCAATTGGCAACCAAGAAAATGCCTCTGAAGACATGCCCACAGGCCCATCTGATGGAGGCAGATCCTCAGCTGTGAGGGTCCCTCTTCATAAATGTCAAGTTTGATGGGTGAATACCGCATCCACCCCTCGTCAGCTTTGGCACACAAGCACACCTCCGATAAAGTATAACCTCTCCTTTCTGGTTTGTTCCCAAGATCTCATGTTCATATCACAATACAAAAGGCAGTCCAGTCGGACAATGGTGGTACACGCCTTTAATTCCAATAGTCAGGAGGCACAGGCAGGCAGATCTCTGAGTTCCAGTCCAGCCTGATCTACAAAGTAAGACAGAGCAGCCCTGTCTCAAAAAACAAAGCAAACAGAAAATTACAATGACTTGATAGTTGAGGTTATCTTAAAATATCCAGTCTCTTAAATGTGGGCTCTTATAAAATAAAAAATCAGTTACATATTTTCTTATTTCAAAAGGGAAGAACCAGGCCACAGATACAATCAGATCAAGAAAAACCCAACATCCAGTAGTGGCATCAAAGCCTGTATCTCAGGGTCCGGCATCTGGGACTCACCCCTGGTCTTCTGGCTCCAAAGCACTCCTCCTGGCCTTCCAGCCACAGCACGCACGGCTTGTCTCGTAGGCTTAAGTCATCTCCTTCCCACAACTGTTGCTGTCCTTGCCATTCATCTCACAGCCCTGGCATCTCCAGGGTCCTGAGGTTTCCATTGCAACTGAGACCACACCTTCACCACCGACCTCCTGGCCTCCTCCCTTCAGGGACTCTGAGCCTGCCACCTGGTACCAAAGCCTCAGCTGTTCCCATGACTGTTTTGTGCCTTCAAAACCAATACCATGTGGAAGACTCTTATACACTGTTTGCCAAGTTCTGCTGACAGCTTGACATGCAGCCTTGGTCCCTAGTAGGCCTCAGCTTCTGTGTGGTGACCCTGAGAAACACTTCACAGAAGACTTTACCTCAGGGATGTTGGTTTCTTACTCATCACTGCTGATTTTTCAGCCCTAGCTAACTAACATCCATTGTCCCACTAAAGCAAAGGTTTCCACTGATTCCTTTTTTTTTTTTTTTTTTTTTTTTTTTTTTTAAACGAGACAGGGTTTCTCTGTATTGTTTTGGAGGCTGTCGGTCCAGCCCGGCCTCGAACTCACAGAGATCCGCCTGCCTCTGTCTCCTGAGTGCTGGGATTAAAGGCATGCGCCACCACCGCCCGGCTCCTTCCACTGATTCTTAATTGAAATATATCGCATGGGCAACCCAGATCAACTCTGAAGGGCTGTCAGACTTCCCTCTGAAAGTTCGCAAGCCAGGCCTCCATTGTCTGCATTGCTTTCAACATGGCCTTCTGAGTTCCCACAACAGTCCTTTTAGGTTCTCAGCACTCAATGACTCTTTCAGCCCAAAGTTCCAAAATCATCTGCCGTCTTCCCACAAAACAGTCCAAGGCATAAACCCTACATGGTCAGGTTCATCGCAGCAACACCCCACATTCCAGGTGCCAAATTCTACATTAGTTTTCCTTCTCTGTTTCTGTGACAAAAAGCAACTTGGGGAAGAAAAGATTTATCTGGCTTACAGGTTACAGTCCCCCTGGGAGGGAGACCAGGGCAGGAGCATGGAGATACAATCTGAAATAGCGACTACAGAGGAACATTGCTTGTTGGCTTGTTTCCTTTGGCTTGCTCAGCTACCTTTTATTTTCTCTAAGATTTATTTTTAATTGTGTGTAGATATGTATGTATGTCTACACATGGGTATGTGCGCATGAATATAGGTACCCATAGAGGCCAGAGGGATTCCCTAGAGCTGGGGTTATAGACAGCTATGAGCTGCCCAATGCGGGGGCTGGGAACTGAACTTGGGGCTTCCAGAAGAGCAACAAGTGCTTTTAGCTGTTGAGCCATGGACTGGGCCCTCCTATATCAATTAGCAATCAAAAAAATGCCTCCATGGACATGCCATAGACATAAACCAATCTAATGGTAGCAATTCCTCAGTTGAGTTTCTTCTTCCCAGGTGTCAAATTGACAACTGAAACTAAGAATGACAGTTTCCCTTCCCAGTCATCATCCTAGGGACTTGAGGCAGAGACATGACATACCACCTCTTATAGCACCTCCTTGCCAGACTGTGAGTTCCTTGAGGCAGAGCTCAACCCAAAGGGGTGTGAAAGAAGATAAGGAGGTTGGAAGATAGGAAGAAAGAAAAGAGGTGCCCTGAGACACAGGGTCAGGACCAACAAAGTCACCACCACATCCCACTTCCCAGACCTCAGGTCCCATTCACTGTTGAGTGTCCACCCAGGCCCTGCCCACCACTGGCTGCCCACCTGACCAACACACTCAGGTTTTGGCAAGTCCAAGTGACCACACTATAATTCCTTTTGCTACCTGCTCCAGACATGGGTCCCTAGCTACAGAAGCCCACAAATAGTAATCCCCAACACCTCCAGGCTCCCAGAGTCAGTCAACAGACACAGAGCCCAGATTCAAGGGTTACAGCTTTATTCTCCTCTCCCTCCTGTCCTGGACGAGGCTTAGATATCAGCCCAGGCCTGACCCCAGAGAATGGGCCTTGGCTTCCCATCTAGACCGGGCAGAGGGCTCTCTTGCCCACTCTTGCCAGCCTCCTTCAGCTGGGGGATCCCCCAGAGATCGCCTCCTCAATGATGTTTGTGTGGCAGAGCAAGAGCCCTGGCCGGGAGCTACCTGTCGGGACCAGTCACATCCCCTGTCCACACATTTGTCCCAGCTCCTTTGTAGGGCCACAGTACAAGTCGTGGAGGGCCTGGGAGTCCAGGCCTCTGTGTTCAAGGACTCTTCTTGGGGTCCCTGGGTCCCCCGGCTCTTGGGTTGCCTGGAAGACTCACTGACCCTATAATGAAGAGAAGGCTTCCTGCCTAAGCCTCCTGTGGCCACAGTGTCACTGGCTGAGGGAAGAGGTAAGGGGATGTTTCTCTGGTTTCTGATCCTGGAGGGCTGGAGAGAAAAGCTGGGCTCAGGCTTCCTCCCCAGGAAGATATCCAGCAGTCAAGGCAGCCCACAGGACCCTGAGCCTTCTGAAGCCTGTCCCCAGCCAGGGCCCTCATTCAAATCCCAGCCTGCACACACACACACACACACACACACACACACACACTGCTTCCCCAGTACTGTAACCTCCTGTCATGCTGTGGCTGAGCCTCTGCTAGCCCAAACTGTTGTATGCCTGCATGTAAAATGCTTGAGAGACTTTAAAAACTTAATATGAAAAAATAATGGATGTGACGACACACAATTATTATCCCAGGACTAAGAAAGCTGAGGCCAGCCTGGGCTACACAGTGAGTTCTGGGCTATCTTGGGCTATATAGCAAGACTTGTCTCAAGAAAACAGTAAGTCATACCTACAATCCCAGCACAGGGAAGGTAGAGGCAGTAGGATTAGCTCAAGGCTAGCCTAGACTATGTGAGAGCATTCTCAAAAAGAGAAAGGAAGGAAGGAAGGAAGGAAGGAAGGAAGGAAGGGAGGGAGGGAGGGAGGGAGGGAGGGAGGGAGGGAGGGAGGGAGGAAGGAAGAAACGAAGAAAGAAGAGAATCTTAGTGGACATGGTGAATCACACCTTTAATCCCAGCACTCTCATCAGAAGAGAGAATTGGTGAATGAGACTTGCCAGGGACCCCAGACAAGGCACAGACCCTCACTCACCCTCTCGACTGGCATCTGTTTCATGTTCCGGGAGGGTCTTAATGGAACCGTCCCATTCCACACCAGATCCTGGGGATCAAAAGGCAGACACTGGGCCATGGTGCCAGGCAGTGGTGAGCAAGGCACACAGATGCAGAGACTAGCAGGAATGAACCTCCTCCCCAAAGGTGGGGGGTCCACTGGATGATGGGGGCTCATATTCAGCAGGTCTGTTCTCACCTTTGCTATGGGCGCTGGGTGCCCCCAGGGGGCCTGGCCTGCGCTGTCGGAACCTCTGCCTTGGGGTGTCCCCTGGACTGAATGACTCAGAGCTTCGCCCTCCAGGGAGCCGGGAGCTGAGTCTTCGCCGCTGCCCACCTGCCAGGGTCTCCTCTCCCAAGCAGAGAGAGCTCTGGGCACGGCGCATGGGTGCCGGTGACGAGGACCCTGTGAGAGGCACATGCAGAGGGATTGGGTGTCATCAAAGCACGGAGAGAGGCCAGCCAAGCAGAGAGCCAGTGGGTGGAGCCGCATAGGGCGGAAAGATGAGCAGGGTGTAGGAGAGAGGGACCTGGCGGATGAGCGCGGCCAATGTGCTGCTGGCTCACACAGTAGCTCACTGTGCGGTCTTGGGCAAGGCACCTCATCCTCTCTGGTCCTCAGTTTCCTTCTGTACCATCAAGGATGAATGACCTTTCCCTAATGTTCCCTGCAGCTGTGAGGTCGTAGGCATGGTGTGTGTTGTATAGAAATGGGGAGGTGGCAATATAGACAGAAAGGAGGAGCCAGGCAGGGGTCTCCGCAGGCCCAGGGAGAAAGCAACCAACATCATCGAGGCAGGTTGGAGGCAGGTAGCAGGAAAGGTCTGGGAGGCGCATGTGCAGGCCAGATAGTATGGCAGATGCCAAGGGTGGGAGACACGGGGTAGGGACCTCCTGGTCGCCAGACCCTCAGACCCACCTGTCCCATCTGCCTCCCTGCCCTCAGGGAGCTCCGTCTCCAGGGGGCCCCCCAGGCTCTCCGTGCTGCCAGCCCCATCGGCCCCCAGGCGTGGCCCCCCATGGAGGGCCCCCTCCCGCCGGGGCCGAATCAGCCTCTTCACCTTGTCTGCCAGCCAGCTGCCCTTCCTGGGGGCAAGAGTGCATAAGAAGGGATAAGGAAACAGAAGGGAGGGAGGGGAGAGTCGTGTGAGGGGACGAAAAGGGTCAGGAAAACCCTCATTAAGACCTGCACCCCAGCCTGGCTCTTGGGGAACTGGAGGTTAGAGGGTAGGGACAGGGCAAAGGTTATCAGTATCCCATTCCAGAAGGTGGGGCCTCACTTGGTGCGGGGCAGGGGCCCAGGTTCCAGCACACGGTACTGGTCCATGATTTTCTCCACCAGCTTCTGCTTCTCACGACGTAAGGCGTTAAGCTGGTCCCTGGTAGGAAGGAGAGAATGGGTTCACAGAAATCCTGGCAAAGCCCTGGCAGAAGCAGGTGCAACCCAGGGCAGCCACACTGCAGGTAAAACTACCCTATTCCTGGGATCTTTTCTAGGACCTCGGGGTGGGGAGTGGGGGAGAGTTCCCTGAAGCATCAAGGGGCGTGGTCCTTGCCCTGCGCATGCTCACAGGTACTCTCGCTGCTCTCGATGCAGGTGGTCTCGACTCTCCAGACTGCGCTCCAGCAGCTCTCGGTTCTCCCGGCTCAGAGCCTGTACCTCAGCTAGCAGCTGCCTGTTCTCTTCCTCCTGGGCGCTGCGAAGCTGGGTCAGCAGCTGCGGGCAGCAGCAAAGCCAAAATGAATACCAGGCCCGAGACTGTCCCAGTTTGGCTTGCCTGCCTTGGCCGCCCTAGGCTGCCCTGACACTGTGCCACACCTCGCACTGTGTGGTCAGTCGACAGGCGCTCAGGTCCAGCTGCTGGTTGGACTCACGCAGCTGCTGGCTTTGCATCTCCAGCTGTGCCCGCTCCAGCTCCAGCCTCGCCAGCCGGCCCCGCAGTTCCCCGCGTTCACCCTGGAGCTCCCCTCGTTCCCGAGACACCTCAGCCAGTAGCTTCTGAGCTCTTTGGAGGCAAAGACAACTGCTCTCCAGGAGCCGGGAAGGCCACACCCACAGAGAGGAGGTGAAGCAGAACACACAGGGGGCAATGACTAACCCACCCCAACCCACTCCGCATGGAGGAATGCTGATCTGGGGAAGAGGGGACAGGCCTGCACCAGGTCTGGTACCTGTCGTGTTCATTCTGAAGTCTCCGCAGCTCCTCCTCCAGGCCCCGCTGCCGACGCCCATCCTGCATCAGGCGCTCACGCTCTGCCAGTAAGGCCACCTCTTGTGCTTCCACACTGGCCCTCTGGGCCTGCAACTGCTCATGCCTGTAGGGACAAGGACCAAAGCGCTGCAGAGCCTGAACCCTTAGTACCTGGCACTGCATTGTGGGGATCTGGAAGTCTGACACCTCCTACGCATAAGCACCACACCCCCAAAAGCAGAACACCATGCTAGGTGCCACCGTTCCTAGCCTCAAAGTTGGGAAGCCCAGACCCCCAAGCGATCAACAGTAGGATAGATATGTGGAGTATGGAACCCCCGCTTGGGTCAGACCTAATGAGGGAGACAGGCTATTGGGCATGCCAGGGAGAGAAGTGGGGAACTGGGAGTCTCACCGGCCTTGCAGCTCACGGTGGGCCAGCTCCAGTGCACGCATATTGGCCTTGAGATCTCGGTGCCGCACCAGAAGGCCCTCCAGCTCTGACTCTTGTCTCCGCTGCAGCTGGGCCAGGGCCTCATGGTCTCGAAGCAGAGCCTGCTGCTGCCCACGAGTCTCCTCCTGAGCCAGTCTTGCTGCCCGCACCTCCTCTTCCAGCATCCCCAGCTTCCTGTGCAACTCCTGGCCCTGCTTCTCCATCATAGACTTTTCAGCCTACGGTGAAGCAAACAGGCAGGACCACTGCTGTGGGGTGCCCAGCGAGAAGGAATAAGAAGCATGGCCTGAGACCAGAGGCAGGGGACAGGAACAAGCTATGGAGGACGCAGGGGGACAGCTGAAGAACAGGAAGAGGTTAAAAGCAGCAGAGAGGCATCACAGTGGCATGGGAAAGCTGGGCCATGCAAGAGGCCCAGAACAGGGATGGGACAGATGGGTAGAGAATAGGGAATAGGTGGCGAGTAGCGGCTAATATGGAGGACACGGCCTACACGGTAAGGTGGTGGGGATGGGGTGGTTCAGGCGTGAATTCTGAACGCAAGGACAGAGAGAAGGTACAAACCGGGATGGCTAAGGGCAGAGGGCAAGTACCGTGGAAACAGGTGGGGCAGCTGGCTGGAGTATGCGCAAAGGCACAAAACGCCCCAAATGGCCAGGGGACAATGGCCCCAGGCTGCCACCCACCTGCAGGCGGCTGCTGTGCTCCTGTGCCCGCTGACTCTGTAGCAGGAGCTCCTGTGCCCGGCCCTGTAGGCTCCCCAGCTGACCCTCCAGGTGCTGCAGCTGCCCCTGCAGCGCTGCCTTCTCAGCCACCAGTGTGGCATTCTGCCAGAAAAGGCTGTCAGTGGCCAGGTGGCTAGTCCTCCCAACCCTGGGCAATCCCCGGTCACTCACACTGCGCTCCACCTCGATGAGCCGACCATTCTGGGTCTCCACAGTCCGAGGCTCAGCTCCTGCCTCCGTCGTCAGTCCCACAGGGTACTGTCGAAGCTGCAGGCACAAGGTCCGGGGATACAAATAACAGGTGCCTCACATGGATAGGAAAGCGTTGGACCCCAAGGAAAAAACAGAGTAGTCACCCCAAGAGGCCCCATCCACCTAAGGAATGGAGGAAGCAGCCCCGCCAGGGTGTGAGGTGAGCAGCTGCCACCAATCCCGCCCTGGCAGCCCTGGTTGTCCAGGTTGCGGCGGGGGCTGGCACTTCTGTTCCCAGGACAGCTTTACCTGAATCAGCTCTTCCTCCAGCTTCAGGGCCCGGGCCTTGAGCTCCATCAGTGCTTCCTCCTTACTGGTGGCCGCTGCCTGCAGCTCAGCTTCCAGCCGCAGCTCCAGGCCCTGGTACCTAACAGGAGACACCTTTAACACACAGCCCTTGCTTGCCTGCCCCTCCCTGTCCCCAGCCACTGTGCCCACCTCTGGTGCTGGCTCTCCTGTTCTCGAAGGAACTCCTGGCGCTCCAAGGCTGCCTGTCCCAGCTCTTGCTGCAAGTGCTCCAGCCGGGCCCCCAGTTCCTGGCCGCGTACCACAGCCTTCTCTAGTTCCTGAGGGCAGGCAGGGTAGGCTCAGAAAGTGAGGGTGGAAATGGGGAACACAGCTCTCCCCCAGAAACAGAGGAGAGCTAGAGACAGGCCTGAGAAGGGATTTTCTTGCTCTCTGCCTTGCTCTGTGCCTGGCAAGTGTCTTTAATCCTGTGGGTCTCTATGTTCCTATCTGGAGGGCGTGGTGGCTCACATATGGAATACCAGCGCTCAAGAAGCTGGGGCAGGAGGACGGCTGCAAAGTCAAGGGCAGCCTGGGCTACATAATGAGATCTAGGCTCAATGTGAGACCTTGTGTGTAAAAGGCCTGGAAGTGGGGTGTGGTGGCCTTGCAGGATGGATATGAAAGGAGTGAGGCCCTAACCCTGGTAAGGCGTGGAAGCGGCCCCTGAGTAAGGGATCAGAGATGCACACTAAGCAAGCGGCTTCACCTCTTTGAGCCCATAGTTTCGAATGTACCCAGGAGGGTGATAAGCCCTGCGAGCTGCCACACGAGCCATACGCAGGGGCTCAGTGGAGGCGGGCCTGTACAGCATCCTCCACCACAAAGGGGTGGCTACTGAGAGCAGTCGGAACAGGAGCTCAGGATCTTGGGCCTAACCACAGTGCAGGGCTGCAGAAGTTGGGTCAGAGACCGTGGCAGTTGGCCCGCAACATTCCAGGGTAGGGGTGGAAGGCCAACTCTGACCTGTGAGCTCCCAGGGGAGGGACGCCAAACCATTCTGATTCCTGGGGACCCTGGAAAGATAAAGCTACACAAAGGTGACCCTACCAGCCACTGGTCACACCCTGCCTCCGAAGACTAAGACTGCTGTTGAGCCATCATCCTAGGTAACAGCCATCCGCACCCTGCCCTGGGCACTGTAGTTCCCAACACATGTGGGCATGGCCTCTGGATAAAAAACTACAATTCATCGAGGCAGTGGTGGCACAAGCCTTTAACCAGCACTCAGGAGACAGAGCCAGGCAAATCTCTGAGTTCAAGGCCAGCCTGGTCTACAGAGTGAGTTCCAGAATAACCAGGGGCTATACAAAGAAACCATATCTCAAAATAAATAAATATTTTTTAAAAATGAAAAGGGAGTGAAGAGGAGGAAGAGGAGGAGGAGGAGGAAATATCAATTCCCTGCCTGGCTGACCATTAGGGCCCTGGCACTGCTAGACATAAGAAAACTGTAGTGCAGATGAAAATAGAGGCCTGGGCACTGCCCACTCCCTATTCTAGCTATAGCCCTACCAAGTGCCCCTGCGCCCAGCCTGGGGGGCCTCCATGCCCACCGGAAGCCTCGAATCCTTCTGTCTGTCCTGCGAGCCTGCTCAGTCAGTGCTACACCCAGGTAGTGCCTAGAATGTTCCAGTCAGGAAGTCATCCCAACTCTCTCTGTCCCCAGCCTCTCCCACACCCTAAGTCTTCCAGGCCCACCCTTACCTTCACTGCCAGCTACCACCAGTCCCTCTCCCCCAAAAAGCAAAAGCATACTGGGAGCCAGGCATACCCTAAGCTCTTGCCACACACTGTTTTGTGAGATTCTATCAGACAGAACAGTTTTTGGTTTTCCTCTCGTCTCTCTATCTCTCTCTGCCCCCCTCCGCCCCTGGTTCTTTTTTATTCTCCCTCTTTGGTTGTGTATTTATTTATTTCTGAGATGGGATCTCACTATGTATTCCAGTCACTACGAACCAGGCTGACCTCAGACTCACAGAAATCTGGTTGCCTGCCTCTACCGCCCCCCCGCCACAGGTACTTGGATTAAAGGTATCACTACCCCACCCAGCCCCCTCTTTAGTCTTAAAGGCGTGGCGATACAGCTCAGGCTGGCCTCAAATCTCAGTCCTCCTGCCTCAGCCTCCCAAGGGCAGGACTGCAGGCACACACCACCACAGGAGGGGCAGGCCGCTTTCTTTCCACTTTACAGATGAGGAACACGACACTCAGAAGTAATCTGCTCCAAGCTACACAGGTGACAATCAGGGGGGTCGGACACATCATACAGTTCTTTACTGGCAGATCTCGGGGTCCCATCCTACAGTATATACCCCAGGGAAACCTTCTGTCTTCATTGGCTCCCACACACCAGTCCTTACATTCCCTGCATATCTTCTCCCATACCTCCCTGTGCAGGGCACAACCTGTGTCAACCCATCCCGTTCCCCACGCTCACAGTGGGCCTATATACCAGGTGCTCTCCCTGCTGAGCCTCGGGTCTTGTCTGGGGCACCCCGTTCCCAGCCCACAGATCTAATACCTTAGCACTGCTTCGTGCTGCCCTTGGCTTTGCCTCCCAGTGTGGACTGACCGTTTTGCTTGTCTCCAGCCTCCAGAGGTACCATTCACTCACAAAGACCCCAGACTCTCCCTCAGCACAGAAGGAAGCTTTCACCATGCCCAACAAGAGCCCTGCTTAATTGCTCCTCAGCATCTCCTCTCCTGACTTCACCAACTCACACCTGAATCTGCTCTCCCCCACCCACCTCCTTCACGAAGCCTTCTCTGATGTCCTCAGTCTGGGCCCGTGGCTCCCCTCACTGTCCTTTCTCCTCCACACCCGTACATACGGACATCCCCCATCTGGTCATCACTGTGCGCACAGCCTGGTACAGAGCCTTGGCTGGCCTCACAGAGTATGTGAATGAACAAGTGAATGGATGCATCTCCAGACATTCTCTCCCCTCCATCACTGAGTGCTCCTCCAGCCTTACCTGTCATAGTTACCACTGCCGCTGACTCTTGAGGGGCCCGGGTTCCCATTCACCAGGGTGACCCTCGTCAGACTCAGCCCCACATGGGTCTGCCCACACCATGAGGCTTTCCATGCCAGAAGACAGAGAGGCAACCCCTTCAAAGTTGGCCACTGCTGTGACTTTTTCCGAGTCCCCCAGCGTCTCCAATGCCTTCAAGTCCTTGTCCCTGCTCATCTGTGCTCTTACTCTTTCAGCATTGAGTGAAATCTAATGATCTTCCCTGGGGGCCTCTCACACCCAGGCAGGCATCCCCACCCCCTCCCGGGTACTTTGCTGCCACCTCATCTTTAGTAAATGTTTTCATCTTCTCTCTAGACAGTCTCGTGTAGCTCAGGCTAGCCTCCAATTCATTATATAGTCAAGGATGTCTGTGCTGTCAGCTTGACACAAGCCATTCATCTGGGATCAGGAGCCTCAACTGAGAAAATGCCTCAGTCAAATGGTCCATAGGCAAGTCTGTGTGCGGGGCATTGTCTCAGTTAATGATTAATGTGGGAGAACCCAGCCCACTGTGAGTGGCACCATCCCTGGACAGGCTGTCCTGAGCTATATAAAACAGCAAAGTGAGTAAGCTATGAAGAGAAGCCAGCAAGCAGAGCCTTCCTCTGCTTCACTCAGTTCCTGCCTCCAGGTTCCTGCTTTGGGTTCTTGCCTGGCTTCCTTCGTAATGGACTGTAATCTGTAAGATTAAATGAACCCTTTCCTACCCAACTTGCTTTTTTTTTTGTCATGATGTTTAACACAGCAATAGAAAAGCAAACTAGAACAGTGGCCTTGAACATCTAACCCTCCTGCCTCCATATCCTCAGTGCTAGGATGACAAGTACATGCCACCATGCCTAGTTTACAGGGAGTTGGGTATGGACCCGGGACTTTGTGCATGCCAGGCAAGCTCTCAAATACTTGGACTCCATCCCCAGCTCGTGAAGAATCATTGTTTGGTCCCTTACAGCAGGGCCTGGCCACCTATCACAACCTGTCACAACCGGAGCCAAGGGAAAGGGCTATCACAACCTATCACAACCGGAGCCAAGGGAAATGGCTATCACAACCTGTCACAACCACACACGGGATAGACCACAGCATTGGCGGTGGGAGTCCCTCCTGTAGCCTGCCCCCCTGAGGACTGGCCATCAGCTGCATCCTGCAGCAACAAGGGTGGCCTGGACTTTCTACCATCTGTCCCATCTCAGCGCAGGGAAGGAGCCCACGTTGTACATGCCAGCAACTGGCCCAGGTCTTTGTTTCCCTGACACACTGCCATACCCCACATACCTCCCTGAGGGCTCGTTTCTCCAGGTGCTCCCTCTCAGCCTCCTCCAGGTGACGACGGACCTGGCTCTCCAGAGTCTGCACTTGCTGCTCGGCAGCCTCAACTTGAGCGCGCAGCCTAGGCCCCTCACGTTCCCACTGCCTTCGCTCACGGCCTGCTGCTGCCAGAGCCTCTGCCAGCGCCTCCCGCTCTCGAGAAGCAGCCTCCAGCTCCAGGCTAGCTGTATCCACTGCTTCCCGCAGACGGGCCTGCTCCTGGGCCCAGGTCTCTGCCTCCTGGTGGGCCTCAGCCTCTGCCCTGCGTGCTTGGGCCAGCTCTTCGGAGAGGCAGATAGCCTCTGCACTTCGGGCCTCTAGTCTTTGGGCCTGGGCTTGCAGTTTAGCCTCAAGGCCCACAACCTCTCTCTTTAGCTGTGCCACCTCGTCTCTGAGGGCCTGCTCCTCTGGGACAGCACTGGCCAGGGTCTCCTCCAGGATTGGCTCCTCCCTGGACCAGGCATCAGGAGCCCCTTCTGATGTCTGCTGTGGTTTCCTAGGGGCCGGGCTACTGACCAACGTCTCAGGCTTCAGTTCATGCCCTCCTGCCTCTGTCTGCTGCTTGGACAGCTCTAGCTCCTGATCCAGGCTCTCCTGATCGAGTTTGAAGTCTGAAGATCTGGGCCTGCGCTCAGGGCTCTCCTGTTTCAGGACCTGAGCCTCAGGCACCAACTCCTCTTGGAGAACCTCTCTGCTTCTAGGCTCTCCCAGCAACTCCTGCACCTCAATTCTGATCTCTGGACCCTGTGTTTGGGCCCAGACAATGGGGCCCTGGAGAGAGACTCCCTGGCTGGACTTCTCCAGAGATCCATGTTTCTCCTCCACAGTAGGGTCTGATTCTTGGAAAGTTAGGGCCGAGGTCTGGGGATCCCGAGAAGCCCTCTGGAAAGAACTCTCCATCACCTCTGGGTGTGAATCAGGTGCCTGGGGACACTCGGATGACCTTGTGATGTCAGAGTCTGATGCTGAGGAAGCCAGGTCCAAGGATTCAGGGCCTTCACCTCCCCTCTGACAAGCCCAGCTTTGGAGGCTGTGATCTGGACCCAGAGGAGTTGGGGGACCCAAGTTGGGCACAGGCAGCATGGAGTCCTTGCTCTGCTCCTCCAGCAGAGGGTGCTGAGGACATACGAGAGGGATGGGGAGTTAGGGTAGAGGTGGGGTGGTAACCAGTAAGGATAGGGATGCTGGGTGGGCCTACCTGGCTGCCAAGCTGCTGTTGCATCATCTGCAGCAGGCCTAGGAGCTCCTGGTTCTCCCGCTCCACCGTCCTTAGCCGCCCAGCCTCTGCTTCTCTCACCTCATCTTGCAGGGAGGGTGCTGCTCCCAGGAGGGGGGCTGGAGGTGTGGCCAAGTCAGGACTCCATTTACCCCCCCCCCCGACTCCCATCAGCAACTCTAAGAGTCAAGCCCTCCCCACTCAGAGTCTGCCTCCACCCCAGATCCTCACCCTCCCCAGGGGAGCCTGGGGGTGGCTCCAGGCTCCTCTGAAGCTCCAGCTCCAACTCCACGTTTTCCTCCACCAGCTGCTCCCACTGATGCCGCAGAGAGTCCAGCTCCTGGGGTGTGGAGGAGTGGGTCAGCACAGCCTTCTTCCTCCGGCCCAGGCCAAATGTGCAAGTCTGAGCGTCCAACAGGCTCCACAAACCACTTAGAGAAGCCTTGGGCATCACTGGCGTCGTGGGAGACCAGGGACAATGGACAGATGGTCAGGTCAGCCTAGCTCACCGCATGGGCCTCGCCCAGCCTCGTGCGCAGCAGCAGGTTTTCCCGCTGCGTCTCATGCAGTCTGGTTGAGCGCTCTCGGGCAACCTCCAGCTGTTCTTCCAGCATCGCCTTTGAGGCCTCCAGGGCCCCAGAAAGCAGCCGCTCCTCCTGGTGGGAAAGCAGGGAAGGTTCGTGGCAAGATGCAAACCCCTATGCACTTCAGTGCCTGGCAGCTCCAGATTCCTTCCCTTGAGATGCCTCAGACCCTGCTCCTTTTTCTACCTCTTCCCTCCATCTGCAGCTCTCTCCAGGGTCTCCCCAGGCACCCTTCTCAAGATCCTGCCCCCCCCCCAGGAACCGCCTTCCAAGGCCACATCCCTCCAGACCACACTTACCAGTAATCCCTACTTGTTAGCGTCTCACTGTAGATCCCCCAATTCCACCCATGGCCCCAGCCTTCTCTTCAAAACCTGCCCTTCCATAGTCGTCTCTCTTCTCCCTCCCATCTGCCCAGACTCCTTTTCCCTGCTATCACAGTCTTCCCAACAAAGTTTGACCCACTCACTTCTCTTGACCAGCCTCCTCCTACACGCCCCGCCTCCAGACCACGCCCCACCGTGCTCCGCCCACAGCTCCGCCCCCCCTCACCTCCAGCTGGCCCTTGAAGACCTCCGCTGCCTGCAGCCTCTCGCGACAGCGCCGCAGCTCCTCCTGCAGTCGTGGCAGGCGGCCGGCCCGTTCGCGCAGTGCCTCTGCCTCCTCGCGGTAGAGCTCGGCGCGTTTGGCTTGTCCGGACAGTGCCTGAGCCTGGGCCAGATAGTGTGGAACTAGGATCAGCCAGCCACGGGACAGAGGGGTGAAGGAGCAATGGGACCGCGATGACAGTGGTGGGGGACATTGGAGCGCACCTCCTGACGGAGCCTTCGAATTTCAGCCTCCAAGCCCTGCACCTCGGCCTGGGAGTCCAGCAGCAACTCGGCCTTCTCCTCCCTGGAGGGATGGGGTGACGGAGGAAGTCTGCCAGCCGCAAACCCACACCTGAGCCCTGTCATGTCCCCAGGGCTGGAGACGCATCCAGGTTCCACTGGCCCTTCCCCAGCCTGCAGACACTCACACCTCCTGCCGCAGCCGTCTCAGCTGGGCCTTGGCGTTGGTCAGCTGCAGAGCCAGATGGTGCGAGGGACCCTCCGCAGGAGCATTAGCAGGAGCCTCGGGCAAGCGGGCCGGCTCCCGCTCCAATAGCATCTCAGCCAACCGCTAGTGGGAAGGCAAAGGTCAAGAGGCACCGTCCAAAACCTCTGCACGTAAGGCTTCCAATCGCCACAGAATCATTCCGGGTTATGACAACCGACAGTCCCCACACTGGCCGGGAACCCCATCTCCCTGCCCAGCTCCATGTGCCTGTTCCCTGTCCGCTACCTGTGCCCCCAGATCTCGCTCTCGCACCAGTCTGGACATGGTCCCCATCAGGTTCCGTATCTGTATCTCCAGCTCCACGGCCTCTATTTCTCCAGACTCTGGTCCAGCTAGAGCCATTACCACACCAGCACCAGGCTGGGTCACCTGAGGGCATGGAGAACAGTACATCAGAAGAAGGAGGGTGATGGGTGGTGAGGCTGGCTTCCATGGTGGTGACAGTCCCACTTGCTGTCCACCACAGTACTGAGAGACCAGGAGTCAGACTCCCTGGTAGGCAGACATACTGGAAAGGGGCCGTGACTAGGTAACAAAGGCAGTGGCAAATGTCCAAGCTAGCCATCTTCCTCACGACTTGAGACAAAAACCTGGAAGCTTTTCCTCCCAGCAGGCCCCTGCTGGACTGACTCAACATCAACAAGTTCAAGGCCCGATGAGGACTTGTCCCAAAACAGTTCCCATTGGTCTTCAAATGACCAGCCCTAAAGAAGGGGAGGAAGGCTCCTCAGAGGCTTTAGAAACACCAGGCCTTTTCCCTGTGTGCGAGCTGCACGTGTTTGCTCACCCCAATAAACACCTTTCTTAACTGCAGAGACTTCTCTGCTGCCACCTGGTGTGCTGCAGACTTTTCCTGCCTTTCACTCTTTAACTGACAGAGAAAAGAAACCCAATCAAGACCCTAGACTGTCCCTGCTGGAGTGCATCCGTACCTCTTGGATTACGATGGCCAGCTCGCTCTGGACATCAAGACTGAGGCCCCGGATGTGACGGATGAAGAGCTCCCGATGTTCACACTGTGATGGACAGGAGGACCAAAGCTGGCACTCAGGAGGCTCCGTCCTCCTGTCAAGACTCCATTCTCTTCCCCCTCCCCCTCCTCACCTGCACCGAGGCCCCCAACAGCAGCCGGAGGATGCCTTCCAGCTCGCCCACCGCCTCTTCTGCCGGGCACAAGTCACAAGGGTTAAGAAGGGACACGGGGCAGGGACAGAGGTCAGAGAGCAGGTGGTAAACAGACCTGAAAGGGGGTCAAACCCCAATGTCTGGAGGTCTGGGGGTGGTGACAGGATCAGCAGCTGCAGTTCCTCCTAGAACAGGCCAACACTAAGACAGCCACCTTCACAAGAGGTTGCCAGGCCCCTTGCCAGGTCTTCCCAATGCCTTACCTGGTAGAAATCCCTCAGTCGCCCCCACAGATGATGGAGATTCCACATCCTACAGGCTGCAGGACCGTCCTGGTCCCTGATCATTCGAAGCCCTCTTCCTCGGGAACTAGGAGCACTGTGATCACCCAGGGAACATGGTTTAAGGACCCACCTACCCCCAAACCTTGCCCTGCACCCTCAGGCTCCTCCCACCATTCACAGCTGCTCCCCCTCATACCTGCCTCCCCCCACCCCCACCCCAAGTCATTTACATGATGCCCAGCACCCGAAGGAGTAAGGCCCCATCACTCAGCTGCAGGAATCTCTTCTCTGCACAAAGAGGCCCCTTATCCTCCTCCTCTGTCCCTGCTGACTCTTCTGCTTCCCCGACCAGCCCAGCCAATCCCAGTGCCTGTGGGGACAAACAGAAGTCAGATGAACTGGTGGAAACTCCCCGCAACCAGTAAATCAATCCTGAAGCCCTGATCTGTCCCAGTACTCCCGAGGATCCCTCTCCTGACCAGTGCCCTTGAGTGCCTCTCATCCCAGATCCTAGCCCTCCCCACCTCACTCTCCTCTTCCTGCTACTGTCTACGCCCCAGCTACCCATCCCCCAGCCCTCAGTCTGCCCTGTCACTCACTTCCCCGACCCAGCCCTCCCACCTGATCCTCACCCAGGTGGCCAGACTCCCACTCAGGAAGTCTTTGAGCCTGGGCCCCTTGGCCCCCTCCATGTTGCAGGTCAGGGTGTAGTCCCTGTCACGCTGTGGCAGCTACACCTGCTCTGAGAGGAAGAGGAAGTCCCCGGCTGGGGGATCCCAGGGGCCCAGCCACAGACCCTGTACAGCTTCCTTCTTCCGGGGTTCTGCCTCAGCAGCGTGCACACACACACACACACACACACACACACACACACACACACACACACATCCCTGGGTCTCAGATAAGACTAGATACAAACTGTAAGTTAGCTGAGGGGAGGTCTACAGGGTTCCTGACTCGATGGCAATGATCGGGAATCCTTGCCTCTCTAGGCAAGAGAGGGTGACCTCAGCCTGGCACTCTATGGTCACTAAAGAGGCTCTGACTTTGCCATGGAGTCTGAACATCATATCTCCTCCTTCTCTTCAGCCTCATGGCAGTCCATCTCAAACCCTGGAACCTGCTGCAGATGCTACCTGTCCCAGCCAGCTCCTCTGAACCCCAGGAGGGAGTGGACACTGACCTAGCTGTACTTGGTGTATACTACTCTGAGAAATGGCTGTGGGCCAGTGACCTCAATCGCCAGGCTCAGATTCCCATCTGTAAACTCCTTAAAGGGAAGCAATACAACACCAGGGGATGTGGTTCAGTCCATAGAGTGACTGCTTCTCATGCACAAGGCCCTGGGTTCAATCCCTGGCACCTTATAAACCAGGCATGGTGACGCATGCCTGTAATAACAGCCCTTGGGAGGTAGAGGCAGAAGAATCAGGAGTTCAAAAACATCCAGAATTACCCATAGTGAATTCTAGACCAGCTAAGTCGACTTAGCAAGAGATTGTCTCCCGAAATAATGATGCCAGGCATGGTGGCACACACCTTTATTCCCAGCACTTGGCAGGTGAACTCTGTGAGTTCAAAACTAGTCTGGTCTACACAGTGAATGAGTTCCATCCAGGACAGTCAAGGCTATTTAGAGAGACCCTGTCTCAAAAAAAAATTGGTGCTAATGGTCACACAAAATATGACATTATAGTCCTACTAAGTGCTTTCACAGGACAGTCAGGAAAGGCCATCCTGAGGAGGCAGGAGATTAGTGCCAACTGAGTTCAAAGCCAGCTGAGAAGGAAGAATATTCCAGGAGCCAAAGCATGAATGCTCTGAGGCAGCTAGATCAAGAACTACTCATGTTTATCTCTTCTGAGATGACTTGTTTGTCACAATCGGCATTTCTGAAGTCAGATGGCAAGGTACCGTTGCCCTTCAATGGCTTCAGTCCTGGACGGGAGTTGTCACTGCAGTCACAAGCCCAAACTTCCAAAGCCCCAGCAACAATTCCAGGAAGAAGGTGCGAGCAACTGACAAGTGGACCCTGAGGACCTGCAAATAGGGGGAGCTTCCGCCCTCGGGAGGGACCTGGCTGATGTGAGTCTTCCCCGAACCCCAGCTGGCGAGACCTGTTTGAAGCAGGGCAGCTCTGTGGAGTATTCTGGATGTCCCCAGGGGGAGGCAGCCAGGAGACAGACACAAGGACTCACAGCAGAAGTGATCACAGCAGTTGCCTCTCCAGGGGAATTCTGCCACTGAGCTCACCAATTCATCTTGAGTCCATCATCATGCTTGAGAGTGGATCAAATTTTTATATGATGTGAACCTGCATCTAATCAGGAAACAGACCTGATGGGAAATATAAAAATGTCCTAGTGATGAAAAGCCTGGGACATGATTAACTTTTTCTTTAGTGGCATTTTTTATTACACTTGATGACATCTTAGAGTTGATATAATATGAAGTAATAATAACAGCAATGGAGCTGTCGTGGCACAGGCCTGTAATTCCAGCACTCAGGAGACTGAAGCAGGAGGATCTGGAGTTCAAGGCCAGCCTCTTCATCTAAGGGCAGGTGAGATGGCCTTGAAGCCTGACAACTCAGAGTTCAACCCCCAGGACCCACACAGTAGAAGGGGAGAACCAGCTCTGCTCACTGTCCTCTGGCCTCTACAGTCTCATGGTGGCATGTGCCACACACACACACACACACACACACACACACACACACACACACACACATTACCAAAAATTAAAGTAAATACAAATAATAGAAATTATAGCAAACTCAGACTTCACATGAGCTGGACATGGCTAGTAAGTACTTGAGTCTTACTAACCCATTTGCACTGGACTCCTCTGTGAAATAAAAACTATTCTCATCTTAGAGAAGAAAACAGAAAACCCGAGGCATAGCAGGGTTCAGAGACCTGCCTACAGTCACAGCTGTGAAGCTGGTGACAGACCGACTGGAGGAGGGCAGCAAGGACCGAGGATGAGGAGCAAGGGACATTGAGTCGAGGTGAGCTGGGGCTGGCGCAGTGGGGAGTCATGCAGACTGCAAGGAAGAGGCTTGTTCTGGAAACGTCTGGGAAAGAGGGAAGTGCTGAGCAGTTCACATGCTCTTGTTGAATGGCCCAGCTGTGCCTGGGCCTTCCTAGCAATGCTATCCAGGGGTTGTCGGCTCCAGGCCTCCTGATTCTTGCTCTCAGTTGCCTCCTCCAACAACTTCAGTCCAAGGATTCCTAGAGGCACTGCTACCGCTACACTAGCTGAGAAGATCCGCCAGAGCCAGCCAGAAATGGTGACCGGGGCTCACCTCCACTGCGGCAGAAGGAAGGTCCCCTGTTTCTCAAGCTCTGAGTCACACCCTTCCTGAGCCCTGAGGCAGCCACCATGTCAAGATTGTTCTTACTTCCTTCATTTAGACAAAGCTGGCTGCACCTCCATCTGTCCTCAGACTGCTGAGTCAGGGGAGGCAGGGTGGACAGCAGGGTATGCAATCTGTTGGCACAGACATCCTGTGATTCCCACGGCTCTATTAGATAGAATGGAATTCTATCTAATGTTGGGAGGCTGGCAGGGGTTCCTCCCTTGGCTTGAGTCTTCCTTTAAACGTTTTCATATATGTATGCATGATTATGCTGGCCAGTTTTATGTCAACTTGACATCAACTAGAGTCATTTTGGAAGAGGGAACCTCAATTGAGAAAATGCCCCCCACCCCAGACTGACCTATAGTCAAGCCTCTGGTGCATTTTCTTGGTTGATGACTGATGTGGGCCCCAGCCCAATGTAGGCAGTGCCACATGGGGGCCTGTGTGTTCTTTTTTTTTTTTTTGGTTTTATGAGACAGGGTTTCTCGGTCCAGCCTAGCCTCAAACTCACAGAGATCTGCCTGCCTCTGCCTCCTGAGTGCTGGGATTAAAGGCGTGTGCCACCAATGCCCGGCTTGGGCCTGTGTGTTCTAAGAAAGCAGGCTGACCAAGCGAGCCAGTGAGCAGCACGCCTTCATAGCCGCTGCTTCCGTTCCTGCTTTCAAGTTCCTCCCTTGAATTGTAAGACGAAATAAACCCTTTCTTCCCAGATTTGCTTTTGGTAACGGTGTTTTAATCACAACAATATGCCCATGAGACAACAGTAGGAAATGTTTAGAAAGCAGGACTTCAGTGCACGGCTATAACTAGAACTTGGGCTTTAGTGCCATGACTATAACTAGAACTTGGAAAGTTGAGACAGGACTAGGAATTTGTAGCCATTCGTGTAGCAAGCTTTCTTGTTGGACTGTTTTGGGGACAATCAACCCCCCAATAATGACAGAGATTCGACCGTTAGCTTAGGTTTATTTCCAACTAGCTTTTTTCTTTCTTTTTTTTGTTTTATTTTGTTTTGTTTTGTTTTGTTTTTGTTTTTCGAGACAGGGTTTCTCTGTGTAGCCCTGGCTCTCCTGGAACTTGCTCTGTAGACCAGGCTGGCCTCGAACTCACAAAGATCCCCCTGCCTCTGCCTCCTGAGTACTGGGACTAAAGGCGTGCGCCACCACTGCCTGGCTCTAGCTCCTATGACTTAGCCTGATTTTATTAATCTACATTTTGCCATTTTGCCATGGCTTTTTACCTCTCTTTCATTCTGTACGTCTGACTTCCCATGTCTCACTGGCATCTCTAGTGCACCTAGATTCATCTCCAGTTCCTCTCTCTCCCTGGAAGTCCTGCCTGTTTTCTGTTGTCTAGCTATTGGCATTTCAGCTCCTTATTAAACCAATCACAGTGACACATCTTCACACAGTGTAAACAAATAACCTCAAACACAATCTGGACTGATATGGGATGTCCTTCTGTATGCTGCCAATATGTGTTGTTGAATAAAGTTGTTCCTGCCAATGGACTGGCAAAATATAGCTAGGCGGGAATTCCAAACAAAGATGCAGAGAGGAGGAAGGTGGGTTGAGGAGATGCCATATAGCCTCTGGGGAAGCGAGATGTGAGCTAGTAAGGCATGAGCCTCATGTTAAATATAAAAATTAGAAATGGGGGGCTGGGCGTTGGTGGCACACGCCTTTAATCCCAGCACTTGGGAGGCAGAGGCAGGCGGATCTCTGTGAGTTCGAGGCCAGCCTGGTCTACAGAGCTAGTTCCAGGACAGCCTCCAAAACAATACAGAGAAACCCTGTCTCGAAAAACCAAAAAAAAAAATTAGAAATTGGTTAATTTATAGGTAGTGCTAGCCAGTAAGAAGCCTGAGCCATTAGCCAAACAATTATAATTTTAATGTTAGCCTCGGAGTAATTATTTCATAAATGTCAGTGGGGACCCGGTGGGCAGGAGAGAAACTGATCCAGTGGACCAGGCGAGGCAGAGAAAAACTCCTCACTACACTGGACTGCACTGTCAAAACAAGCAGAAGGGCATGCATAGTGGCTGACAGCGGCAACGCCTGCTCTTGGGAGGACTGAGTCCAGGAGCTTACCGTGAGTTAGAGAGCAGTCTGGTGGGCTAAGGGTAGGTTCCAGGCCAGCCTAGGCTCAAGT